ACTTGATTTACCCAGAACTCTGAAAAAATGACAAACTTTTTATTTTACAAGCCCTCCCCAAGATCTCAAATGGTACACCCCTAAATGCCGACTCAGACAGCTTCGCCCGACGTTTACCGACGAATACGGATGTCGCGTCGCTTCGTGTGAGTGTCGCACAAGACGACCCTGTTTAATATTTTAGACGAGACGTTCGTCCCCGCGTTCGTCGGCGACAGCAATGTAAGATGGCGGCCTCAGAAGATTTTCCTGTGACGTCGAGCGAGGCTGTATGAGTTCGGCTTAAATGGCCATCGCTTTCGACGACGAGGACGACCCGGGATCGTGACCGCTGTTATTAAAAAAATCGTGAAGAAGATTAAATACAACCTGTAACCTGACCTGCAACCTGACCTGCAACCTGACCTGTAACCTGACCTGCAACCTGACCTGCAACCTGACCTGTAACCTGACCTGTAATCTGACCTGCAACCTGACCTGTAACCTACGTCATTTTGACCCATGAGAAAAGGTGAATTATCGCAGATTTGTTTTTCTTACATTGCATAGGGACTGAAAATACGCAAAAAAAAGATCTCTGTTTAGTCAGGAACGAATATACCATCAGTTCGCCGCCAGAGAAGCAACCGATCTAAAATCGGCAGCCGTGCGCAGAACAACAATGAAACAGCTTGGCAGAGAACTGAAAAACGAATTGCGCAAACAGTTCTGCGCACCCACAATTCAAGTTCTTCTAAACAAAACTATAAATATTGTATTCTGCTTGTCAGAATCGCAATCTATTAATTTGATAAATACTTCGATTGAAACAATACATTTATCGTAAACACAAATTTCTATTGCCTTTTACATAAGGGATTGGTCATTTAGAATCCAGCAGATTCCATTTTGCCAGCTGTAAATCTCAGTTGACCCACCCCCCTATCAAATAAAAAAGAGGGCGACCCCCCCCCATCCCATTATATTTTAAAACATTCTGACCCCCCCCCTCCCGAAACACAAAGAAACATTAACAGTTTTGGCTCTGACATGATTACAAAGTGTATTATATGTGCATTGAAAGTATCACGGTTTGCCGTAAAGGTTAGTGTTTGCATTTAATAGACCTTAGGAGGGAAGGGCAAGCAAGCCAAAAAACGACTACAGAAAAGGCTGCAGGAAAGATGGAAATCTATGCTGCTAAAGATAGTAAATAAAACAAAGCTGTGGAGTACTCACTTGATAAACGCCCTTATAAGATAGGAAAAGAGGACTTGAATCTAGGCGGTTTGAAAACTAATTTGGATTTAATATATCTTTCATCACTTATAGGAATGCTTTACACCCGAAGCACAGTCTGTGCTTATGAAAACAAAGGAAACTTTGATTTTTGCTTAAATTTGTGTTGGATTTTGTTTTTTTACGGAGCAAAATATGCATATTTATTCATCATTTATCATTTTATTTATATACATGTATCAGCATTTTCAGAAATTTAACTTTTTTGATTTGCTGAACAAAAACTGTCACTGCTCTTTGTACTAATTGCTGTGTTTTTTCGTCTCCAGCTATAATTGGATAAATCCAGTAAATATCTTATACAATGGTGACTTCAGACTTTAAATAAAATAATCTGATATCACATGGACTTGGGATGTGTTTAAAACTTAACTGTATAATTGCACGGGGCTCTACCGCATTTCATAATCTGTTAGTTATTTGGCAACTTCAACCCCAAAATATTTAGCCTATAACATTTTTTGCATCAACAAATTTATAGGCAATATGGGTAATAGTTATTATTAAGAACACATTTGTACGATTAACTTTTTTATCTTTCGTTCTGAAATAAAATTTTAAAAAGTATATGCATAAGCGCGTGTGTGAATTGTGGAAAACATTCATGATATCAAACCAGGGTGACCCCCCTATTCGTAAAATCAAAAACAGGGTAACCCCCCTACTGATCCACCAGGCCGAAGTAACTGACCAATCCCTAATGGTATTAAAAGCGAGATCAAACAACGTATTTTCACGCGAACGTGTACGCCACCGCCCTTTAAGGGCCGACCATTTGAAATCGAGGAAGGACATGTTCACGCACAAACACAAACTTGCGGAGTCACCCAAATGAATCACAATGGACGGTAATCCTTCAACTACTGAATTGATTCTGCAGTGATACATGTCTAGTAATTTAACCTTTTGCAATCAGTCTTACTATAAATATCATTCAGCATTTCAATATGTACTCTTTTTCAAAGTTTATAATTACAAAACAAGCTTTCAAACGATGACCCTGATTGCGCACTTCAATAGGCATTATACATGACCCCTGAATGTCACACATCCTGGTACTTTCTGGGGGATTTGTTCTAAATCATAATTCTCAATAATAAACTTTGAACTGATTTATTTTTCAAAATACAATCAAGAAATTTTTATTGATAGATACCCTTGAAAGTACGTAATTTACTATAGATATTATCATATAATATCACTTATATTCATATAATGATGTCATTACAGAGGGTTCATCACATTGTCGATTGAATGAATTTCTTTTAAACAAAATTAATTGGTTCAGCCTATTTCGTGAAATGTTGCAAATACTGCACTCATACCGTAGAACACGTGAAAACTCTTTATACAAACACGAATACAAAGAAATTATCGACCGATATCCCTTATATTCATGAACATGTTGGTATTATGACGATGTATGCTATTAGGTTTGTTAAAGATTGATTTAGTCTCTATGTTCTGTATTCATGTATGCTATACGTACCATGTGGATCCTTTATTCTGCAGATTATGTATCTTTATCCTCCACACAATAGTTAACTTTTAAGCTAGACATACGTGTACGTCAGTCGTCTTACTTCGGCGGTATAGTGCAAACAAAATGCACATAAATTGAGTTTTATGATGTCATAAATGTAAGATGTGTCATATGTAGGTAAACTCTTTGCATGTGAAAGGCGTAAAATTATCCCTTAAAACGCAAAATGATTTTAACAATGACATTACAACAGTCTATAATAGTTGCATCGCCGAAGCCTACTTAAAATTTACAATTGATGTTTCGTCGTGTGCTTTATTATGTGTTCGGAGTATTGTTCAATATTCCCGTAAATATCAGAATCAATGCCGGAAATATTTGCAAATATAGTTCGCGTGAATAGAAATTGATTAACGTAAATTATTTTCTGTCATGTATAGGAAGACTTATGTTATCAATAGTAGTCATGAAATCGATCCGTCAATTGAAGAAGATTTTCTCAAGTAAAGCAACTGAGTACGTATATGACAACAGTGAAGTAAGCAGATGCTAATAATCTCACACTTGAAAGTTTGAATCCTTAAGGTGGTACACAAACAATGTACTGAAAACTACAAACACGTGCTATACAAATTAAAACGTATTGTACACGTATTGAAAAATACTGTTGTAGCAGGAAATTGTGGGTAAACGTTTATTCATGTCATTCCATACCGTGTACATTTATTATTTGAGTTCAAATCCTGCAGCTGTATATCAAGTACTCACTCTAGGAACTTAGCGACATACTGTTAATATATTGTCATTTTACAAAATAAAATTAGCACTATTTTTATATGGGTCATATTAGTTTATTTTACACTTCTGAAAGTGATTCACAGTACTGTAATAATGAACAATTAAGAGTTATATAGAATCAACTTACACAGTTATTCGTTTTTTGATATGAAATCATTGGTGCTAAACAAGGATAAGTTAAAATATTCTTATAACTCATTTCAATGAATATAAAATACTGTATATCCATTCTTCCCCCCCCAAAAAATAGTTGATTTTTTTTCCTTACCGTTGTCAATTCAAAATTGTATTTTTATTATTATTCTGTTTGAAATGTTGTGGCATCTATAGCAACGTATATAGTGTTATATAACAACTCTCTTAATATTATTATCAGGGGTAAATTCTTTCTCTCTCTGGGTTCTCCACACTTGCCAGGGGGGAAACTCGTCTCGTCTCTCTCCCTTGAGGTACGGGATCGGGAAAGTCACTTTAACTTTACAGTCAAATAAGGCACACACAACGAAATACGTTTCAACTCTCGTCTTAGTCGATCTTTTGGAGCACTCTATAAGACTCAGCGCCCTGGGGAAAGTCCCCAAGACTCTCCCAAGGCTGAACCAAGACTCGCCCAAGACTGGACTGCCTCAAGGCTCGCCCCTGGACTGGACTCTCGACTGTCCAGGACTGCCCTCGACTCTCAGACTGCACTCTCTCTACTTTCTGACTGCGTCTATCGTGGAGTATTCGCCAAGACCAACTCAAACTCTCTTTATTCATTTTCAAAACTCTAACCAATTACAAAACAGTAAAAAGACTCTAAGGCGTAAACTTCAATCATAAAGCTAATCACACTAAGTACTGAATACGTCATATCTTTTGATTAATCGTTCACTACATTAATAACTATGGATGTAAGAATAGCGACGGTATCTTGTAATTAGTTCCAAACCACTGAGCCAAGTTCCGTCCAAAACTTCAATTAGGCCTAGACGATGACAGACATAACACAGCAATTCAGCTAATAATCAACTAATTAAGTCGGTCAAGAGATACGCGAAAACAAATTCATGACATTATATTAAATAACTTTATCTATATTATATATTCACTAACTCGTAATATACAACACGGAATTTATTTAAAAGTATGTTGAATCATCGAATTAGCAGCCCTTTTTAAATATAAAACCATTGTAAAAAGCATACTCCAAAATATTAATATTAGTGTTTTTATCTGTCCCACAAAGAAAGTGTATTCAACTTCCAATCAATAGATGAATGCATAAAAAACATTTCCCCTTGTGCGTTAAAATGGGTATTGTAATAACTGTGCGTTTTATTCTTCGGCAAAAATGAATATATGATAATTGTCTAAAAATTCTTAAAATGTGTCTCCCAAAACTTATATTAAACTGTGCGTTTAATGGGTCTACCTTCCGTTGGAGAGCAGGTGTGGCCGTTTACATACGAGGGTTGTTGTTGTACACGATGTCCGCATACGCCCTCGCATCGAGAGGTAGAAATGTTTTATTTCTGAAGTCCATGTAGTACATGGGTTCGTTGATAACATTCGGGTCATATCCTTCCTTAACCAGACTAGACTTCTTATATTTAAATGTTTCTGTCAGCTCCAGCGAATCACGAATACGTATAAAGCGTGGACATGCGTACAACGGTAGATGCGCAGTAATGTGTGCGTAGCAATCTCTCAAATTGAAATCTGCGTCGTTGTTTAAAACGATTGCGGCCATTCCAGCACGGCCGTCATAATCTGAAAAGGGTACGTTATCACATAAAAAGATAGACTGATGAAATACTGTAATGTACTAAGGTTTTGTTTATGTATTGTATTGTATTTTCAAATTATTTCTTAATGAACAAGACGTTTTTTGGACACAGTTGTAAAATAATATAACGGAGGTTACAACCAATACATAATATTATTAAACCGTGAGATAAAGCGCCCTTCTCCAACTAGCAAATTTAAGTCTGTCTTCATCTTTCATAACATATTACCATTTAACATTAAATATTGAAATGTAGGACAAGGTATGCTGGGATAAACATATAACATTATGAATGATAATTACGTAATATTTGAAATATGACTGTATGTCAATTATTGTCAAAAACATTTAACAAAATAGTTGTCAAATAGTTTTCTGTGAATATAGTTATACCACCTTATTTAATTGAAAACGTGTTCCCAAACACCATATTTGAATATCTAATAATAATATACACATATTACCTTTAACTGTAACCCCGTATACAACAACTTCACGGACAGACGGAAATGACGCAATAACGTTAGCAACTTCATTAGTAGCCACATTCTCCCCTTTCCACCTGCAAGAAAATGCAAGATAAATAAAATGCCTTACAATTAAATGTTGGTTTACTCATAGAGATGGTGATTCTAGAAGTATTGTCCATATCAAGAAATTCCGTCATACTCAGTAACTGTGCATGGGCCTCCCACATCGAATATTGTGCGCGTTCTTTTATAAGCGACTTTGTAGAGAAACATACACGAATCTAGCATTCGAAATGCACAGTCTCTGTGTCACAGCGATAGACAATCTAGAATATGCTAGTATGGAAAAACCTTGATAAAAGACGAGCAAGGTTTCAATTAATCTACTTACTCACCTAAAGGTATCGCCTAAGCGTTCGGCAAAATACAAATAATAATTTCTGTCTAATACAAATAGATCACCGGTGTTATAATACTGATCCCCAGGTCGAAATACGTTCCGTAGTATCCTCGTCTCCGACTGCTCCGGATCGCCTTCATAGCCCATATATTTGGCACCAACTCCTTCCAACGGACTTATTAGTAAGCCGGGCTCATCTAAAAATATGCCACGTTCGAATTTAATATAATGAGACCACGATAGACGTTCATGCGATAACTACATCAGTTATGCACGCTTCTCGCAACTTTATTAATTGTATACATTCTACAGTATCGCACCTTGGTGGTTTTGAAGCAGAACGCACAAACAACAACATTTAACATTTTCAAGAGATTCGTAACCTGTCGCCATTTGCAAAACAAGTCACCTCAAGAGACTTGAATGTGGAAGCTAATCACAACAACACACTTACCCAATTTCACAGGAACACATTTTCCGTCCCCGTCTCGCACTGGTTTGGCTAATTCAGTGTCATATTTTATCAACCAAAAACCACGGAGTTTCTACACAGTACAAACAAATGCGATTCACATAAATCATAATTTGAGTTGTCATATGTTCGATGTGTTACCCAACAAATTCGCTGTGAAATTGAAAATGAGACAATTACACGCTTACGATCAAACCCTATTCTCGTGGAGTCCCAATCCCGTTATGGCTTCCCCAATCATGGCTTCCCTATCATGGCTTCCCCAAATGTGTTTAATTTATTTTGTATTATATGTGACACTGGAAAACGACAATTTACAATACATTTGATTGGAAAGAACAAATTTGTAAAACTATTTCACTTGACCCATAATCTAGTCTTATCTTGTTTTACAACTCCCTCATTTTTCCACATATTACTTACTGTGTTGAAATTTGGGGTAACACCTACAAAACCTTTGACAAAATTCTACTACTCCAGAAAAAAACTGTTCGCTTGATAACGTTTTCAGATTTTCGTGTCCACATCTCTACTATTTAAAAAAAAACTATTTATGAAAAAATATTTCAGACATCTATAAACTTAGTAAGTGCCACGCCTGTCTATTTGTTTGTTTTTTTTATCTTAATACGAACTCGTTTGCCCATAATGTTGACCCCTACAAACCTTCTCATAACTATGCAACTTCCTCATAACTATGCAACACGTCAAGCTACTGGTTCCAATTATTATATTGCTAGAATGAGTCTTACTATTAATCAACACAGTATCACCTATACAGCAGCAAAAAAATGGAACTCACTTCCTGATTCAATAAAAAATATCAAAAGCAGATACATATTTAAAAATACGTTAAAACTGTATCTCATGAAACAGTAAATGTGTTATGTTTAAAAGTCTGGATATGTTATTTAATTTTTTTTATTTATCTTCACGCTAAGTGAGCTATGCATTTAATTAATAACATCAGTATTATGGGGCCATAGACTAGACTAGTTTGTATGAACTATAGCTGTGGTTCTCACTAGAATTGGTATTATTATTATTACTGTGTATATTATTATTGTATATTATCTGGTGAAATAAAACAACATCAATCAGTGAACGGAGTTGAACACTATACCAGTAACCACTGCACAAATAACGAGGTGACCATTGGTCAGTTCTAGAATTATGGTTGAGCACGAGTACTATTGGTAAAAACAACAGGTAACATTTTTAGACACTAGTATGATACATCTGTTGTCAGACCATATATATGTAAATTAAACAAAGTGACGTACATACCTTCATCAAAGGCGAATACTTGCCGAGTGCACCGGGTGTATTGTCCGTGTTTATACTCATAAATGTCGATTCAGTTGCACCATATACTTCGATTATTTGTGGTATATTAAATCTTTCTTGGAAACGTTTCATTATATCCTTTCCAAGCCCGTTGCCCATCAGTGATGATAGTTTGTGTCTGCGCTCATAGTCGCTCTAACATTACACAAATCAATCATTTTAGTTTTATGATAATATATTATTTATGTTACATAATTGAGTACATGTCACAAAGATTTTTTCAAGTTCAAAATAATGTATTTTTGTCCCACCTTACTCATGGCTAGCAGATATCTGCATATTTCCCCGGCATGTATGAAAGATGTTGCTTGGTACTTGACAATATCTTGCCAAAAGCTGGTGCTTGAAAATCGAGGAGCCAGTATGAGTGTTGCACCTGTGAGATTGGACGAAAATATACATGTCATTAATAGATCTTGTACGTGAATGGCCGACGAGAACTCGCTAAGAACGAAAGAGCTACGAGAGTTCTTCCTCTCGGTAGTGTCCCACTTTCTACAGACACCGCGTTCGCAGTTTCATGTGTCAAAGGATAGTGGACACGCTGGCGATAAAGAATGTAACACTATTGGGGGCCTAAGTCACGTGGATCTCGAACTCTCGTACTAAATGATATCTCGGCGGCCACCTCCAAATAAGGTCAATTATGTGTCCCACGTCACTGATATGCAGTTGGGGATATTGTGGTGGACTTTTTACACCACGACAATATCACAATATTACGTCGTGTTTACACCTTATCTCAGTATTCGATGAATTGTTCAAATTATTGTAACTAAGCTAAAATGTAATTCTTATCACATCGCATTAATTATGAATGCAAGAACGTGGGCATATACTATACTACTTTGTGATATTTTATAACATAAATTAATCAAAAACTGATATTAAATGATTATAACCACATTGGTGCAACAATTTGGCTTCGAGACTTTTGGTTATATTTCAATCGTTATTTTTCGCACTGAAATTTTGCCGGGATTTCTTACTGATCCAGCGTATATCTTGTAAATAAACATATGTATTGTATTGATTTTTTTAGATATAATTAATATCTCGTTTTCATTTATATTTGGATGAGATTAGAATATTTGAGAGAGTTGAACATAGTTTGAGTTGCCTAGCTTGCCTAGCTATGAACAATTAGAATTATTAGTCGTCGATTTACTTTCCTCCTAAGACTTCGAAATTCTGGCAATTCGCTTGATATACCTTTTGGAAAACAATATTAATACAACTCACCCACGGACAGTATATTTGTGAGTCCCATCATCAGGGACGTACCATGATATAAAGGAAGACAAACATAGACTCGATCACTGTGTGACGTATGCTGGAATATGACATTGGCTATCGCTTTAGCTACCATTCTCTGATGAATGACTCTTGCAGCCTTAGGTCGATCTATAGTAAATAATATTAATAGATAACATGTCAGTCTACTATGTGCCAAGTAATAAAAACAAATGTTATATATATACTTAATGTACCTCTGATATACCATGCTATGTGTGATGAATTTAGATAAATTTTACTCACTACCAGAGGTGCCGGATGTAAACACGTAGAGACAGACATCATCTCGTTTGATCCCGCTGCGGACATCTTTTGGTATAGCACCTTCTGAAGCGCGACTTATTTCGCTACCGACAGACCTTACTAACCGAGACTGAGCACCACCAGGTGGAAGTACATCTTCACACACTTCCCACACGTGTATACCGCTATTTTCTAGCTGAGTCGAAATACCTTCTACTGCTTTGAAGAGATCGTCAGAGCAAACTAAATTAAAAAAATGAAGTTGCAGAACATCCTTCCGATAGATTCGCTCATGAGAAAATTATTATTTGTCTATTAACTTTGCGCACAGTCACTCTACTAGTAGAGTGGCTGTGCTTTGCGCATAAATCAATTGGCTAAGAGTGGATTCAACAACGCCTAAGTTGATTTCACTGGTTTTCGGAATTAGCAATTATAGCGGCGTCCAAAACTCACACAAATACAGCGTCAACTGAAAAAATGTGCTGTATGATTACCATATGCGATCCATGTGCGTAAGATGTTATGCGAAAAGAAATATGAATGACTAGTCGATATACAAATGATAAAATCAGGCACGTGCAATTATTAAAAACATCATATGAAACTTTGGTTTAAAAGGTGGTAGTCGTCGCGAGAGATGTATGGGTCGATAGTCGATATACAAATGATAAAATCAAGCACGTGCAATTATTAAAAACATCATATGAAACTTTGGTTTAAAAGGCGGTAGTCGTCGCGAGAGATGTATGGGTCTTATATAAACAAAGATGGCGACTTTGACTGTTGCACAGATCAACGAGCACAAACTAAGACGTTACCAAGTTTTATAAGGTATTTTTAGGTGATTGGAAGGTATCGAAGGAGTTATAAGTCACTGGCGGTATTCAGTGCAAGTCGCGCCCAGATCAAAGCTCATAGTTGTGATTTTATATTAGAAGAGCGCATTGGATTGTGGGAAAATCAATGTTGATCAACACAAATGTCGCACATGCGCAGCGCGACGACCAACGCCCTTTAAGTTCGTTGACGAAAACGTCAGCCTATGTGCTATTTACTTACAGGCTGGCCAATGTTATGCGACGAAATAAAGGAAACCTCAGTTGTATATAGGCCTATATGCAAAATGTAATGTCTCTCTAAGTGAATTACTGGGTGTATTGATGACGATATGTATTTTTCTACAATTACTAGTACAGCCGAATGATAAATATTTAAAGCGGGAGGGTCGTCACCTGCGCACGTGCGGGAATTGAGTCCCAAGCGACGATAACAACACACGCTAAATACGCAAAGGCTCATGGGTAGACGCTTGTTTGTAAACAATGACACGTTATGGCCATTTGACGCATGCGCATGTGACGACTCCCCCACTTTAAAAGAGTGACGGCACGACATTACCTGAGGGTTGACTTTTGTGGTGAAAAGAGTCTCGCATGGTCTCATATTTAGGTTAACACATAACAAGTAACCTCGTGGTTGAACTCCATTTACATATCTGAAGTGTGTTATGTGTAGATACGTCGGCTCAATTACTTTGGTCAGACATATAAATACAGGTAAGGGGGGTGGTCATTCGAAATTCTGTGGAGAAAGGTTGAACTTATGTGCAAATTAAAGCGCGGTGGTCGTCGCCCAGTGCGTGTTCCAATTCCATATAAATGAACAATGTATTTTACACGCGTTGTATACGTCGCTATGAGTCCCATATCGAACAGGACTCGGCACGACGACTACCGCCCTTTAAGTGTTATCTACATTGTTTTAACATAATAATTGATGTAAATTTGTTTTTGCTTTTCTCTATCGAGAAGCGTGTTTTTTATTAATTCAGCACCCCTCTCCGAGTTCGTAATGGTCAACCTCTGAGATTATATTATTTGTGTATCACCAACGAAATGCAACATGGGTATATATTGCATACTTTAAATCTTTGAATATGTCACGAATTGTCCTTTTTTGGTAAATAGTACTATTGTTGTTTTAGTGACAAACGAGATATATTTTCGGTTTCCGTGTTTTTTCATTACTTTCATTGTATTACCGACTTTCCACATACCTGCGCCCAGTAGCACTACTTTAGTACGCACTACGTCTAGACAATTAAACAGTGAATCGCTCTTAACATTGTAGTTGATCACAGCACATTTTACACCAATTTTGGTTAATCCGAACAGTGTCCAGAGAAAGGCTGGCTCGTTATGCATCATTATGGCAACTGTATCCCCAGTTCGCAGGCCTTGTTGTTGAGCAAAGTTCGCGAACTTGTTAGACAGCACATCAAGGTCAGCATACGTGTATACAATGTCCGCAAACTCCAGCAAAGGTTTGTCGGGATATTTCTTTACTGCATTCTCGAACACTTCGGCATACCTCCACCCGGAATCTAAATGACGAATCAGCGACCTTTTTAGTGCGATATTTAATCGAATTGATTGGAGATCAAATCGCCAATATGGGTAGGTGAAGTAGGACACTTTGGACAGTGTCCGATGAGTGTTTGCAAACAACACGCGGCGTGTTGTTGAATTGCGGTTATTGCCGGATTTTCCCGTGTACAGTCGCCGGACATGATCGCCCACAGTGATATACGGATGGTAGTGGATAGTTTGACATCGTGATCGACTGACGTGTTCATGCAAACGCAGCGATATTGCACGTAACTTCGTTGAATTCATTTCATGTTAGCGAATCTGTGAATTCGACAAAAGTCGTTCAAGCTGTGTTTTAGGTTGAGGTCGCACTACACTACGAGTATATTCGACCTTGAGGGTTATCCAACCCTGTATTGAGGCCAAAGTACAATACGTTATGTCGTGTCTTTTCAATCGAAATGATCGACCGATATCACACACGCGCGTAGCGTGCATGTCCAATCCTTATCCGTATGAACAATTACTGAATATTCATTGAGCTTTATTACTGTGTAACATAATCATTATGTGATTTTTTATAATAAGTTAGGTTACGCTAATATTATGGTCACGCTTTCGTGATATTGCGTTGCGTCACGCTGCGTCGCGCTACACCACGCTACGTAATATGTGTCTGCATGTATCTTACGTCATGTTACGTTGCGTTGTGTTGTGTTATGGTAATTTACGGTATTACGAACAACAATAAAGTTTGAAAGTTGACTGGTGGTCCAACTATAAACGGGGTTGTTTGGAGTGCTCATTATCATGGTGGTGTCCTACTGTAGTAATGAAAGAGGTAGTAAAGTTCAAAAGTTAGTAAAAACTGGCTGTTGTTCCAGTTGGTCTTTCCAGCTTCATCGATCTATCATATGGCACCAGCATCTCCCTGGTTTACATAACCCTCAATAGTAAAGCCTTATTCCAGGCTGTGGTCGCATTAAGGACTCGTAAGCTAGTGTCAACAATTTCCACAGCTATCAAATTCTACTATTTTTCTACTTTCCCGACTCTGTCCATAGTTGCGACTTGGCCAATTGTGCCCCGTGACCCACCACCAAGTAACCCTGCCCTCAAACGTACGGAGGCGATCTTAGTACGAAGGTAGCCCTGGCTCGTAGTCGTTGTCTAACTATTTTATTTTTAATAACTTTATCGACTCCGTCAACAATAGTCAACATGTTGGGGTCCGGCCAATTTCCAACTTTGCCGACCCGACCTTATTCAATTTTCCAAAACTTCAATTGTTGAGATCCAGCCAAATTAAAGTTCTTCCAACTTTCAGTTGCCGACCTTGTGTAGCTGTAACCCCGGCACATTTACTAAATGTCAATCAATCACTCAAATTTTCCAACTTTGCCGTTAAGTTATTTGTTTGAAAAAGTTGACAAATAAAACTAGGTGCACACATTGAAAGTGACATAGACGCAGTCGTGGGGCTAATTGTTGGCTTAAATTGTGTAAATTTAACAGGGTTCTCAATCTGAGGTCGCAAGGAAATTGAACCCTCGATGGCAAGACTAGGGGGGTTAAAAAAAATCTAATTAGGCCATACGCTGAAATTAATTATTACAACTGACCAAGGGCAGAACCAATGCATTGAACATGTTTTTGTAAACACAAGTCACTAAAGCAGTCTGGGTAAACTGCAAAGCAACCTGGATGAACCGTTTGATAGATATGATAAACCAAACAAATACTAAATACGAATCACTATTTGTACAACAATCGGATTTGCCGATACTATATTTCAGATTAACTGTTGTAACAAGGAAACAAAACGCGACCAGTGTTTTGAAACGCTAAATAACTGATCGTTAAAAAGTTATTTTTTTTTTCTTGACATAAGAGTGGTTGAAGCAGCATCTTGAATTTGAATGTTACACGTAGGCGTGAGAAGGTCCTCGCCGACCGAACCGCATCAGCCCTCACTAACGCCTGGCAGAATAGTGTATGTCTCGTAGGCAAGATCAATACTTCGAATTCGCAAAGTTCACGCCTTCTTGCAATGAGTTCAATGAATATTCATCTTGGTGGCCATGGTAACACCGTCAATCAAAGCGTGTTTGCATTGTCGGCCAAATTCACTGTTTTCAACAAGATGATAAACATTGGGCGGAAATTTGCCAGCACCGTATCACACATTGTGTCAGCAAAAAAATAAACTCTGCCGTGAATGGTTACTCTTTGATGGCTGTCACTACCTTACGTTCCTGTACTATTTTTACGTTCCCGTGTTGGGTTTGGAGCATCGCGGAGGGCGCAACACACGCGACCTCGTCAGGCTACAGAGGGCGCTCCATATTTATGTGTCGTAGGATAGAATCGGTGTGAATTGTCAAATATTAATGAAATAAAACGACTGGAACATATTTACATATTCTAGGGCGCCACTAGACCCGACATGGTACATCAACACAGGTGTGTCTTTATGGATGGTAGCAGATTAACACTGAAGACGAAACACAGCTTTCCAACAAACAGCACAAAATTCTGATACCCTCACTACCCTTTATAGACTATAGTTTTCCCAGCATTCCTTGATGAACCCTCATTGAAATTAGCATTATATCACGTGATAATGATTAACCATGAAATTTACATTATATCACGTGATAATGATTAACCATGAAATTAGCATTATATCACGTGATAATGATTAACCATGAAATTAGCATTATATCACGTGATAATGATTAACCATGAAATTAACATAATATCACGTGATAATGATTAACCATGAAATTAGCATTATATCACGTGATAATGATTAACCATGAAATTAACACTATATAACGTGATAATGATTAACCAATCTCTCGTTTACTCAATAAAGTTTAGCATCCTATTTTTATTGGCGAAAGAGATGTCTAAACTGGTTTGTGTAGTACGTATTACAACGGAAAAACTGTTCACATTCACCGAGCATCATGTTTTAACCTCTACAAAACACATACAAGACAACAGAATAGGATGAAGGGGCAAACCGTTAGGAATTCCTAAATGGAGTCAATTTGTGTAGTTTTCTTGATTTATTCTGCAGATATCGGTAAAATGTAGGCAAGGCTTTGGCGAAATTTGAAAGAGCAACTAATATTCTTCAACCTGGTATTTTTTTAGATTTATTTTCATTTTGTTCGTCTGTTTTTTCCAGTTTAAAA